TGCTGCCATTTGAAGAAGAAAACATATTTGCAAGCTCCGAAGACCTTGGTTGTATGCTTCATTCCTGAAGCTTCAAAGAGTGATTGTACCAGGCGAGGATAGACCTCGAACGGGTGGAGCCTCTTGGCGCTAACAGTAGCTGAGTAGGTACGTAGTCAGTTAGCGCCACACTACACTTCCGTCAAGTCGCATCTTCTCTTCCTCTCACCACCACCACCACAACAATCTTACCACCCTTCCTGTTTCTCCGGCGATCACGACTTTCTTGAATCTAATCTCTCCCTTCGTTCCTTTATCCCCTCTTTTCTCGTTCTACCTGGGCACTTTGTTCCTCCGCATACAATCACACATTCCTGCAACCTCTTCCTCGAAGGCAGTCACGCAACAAGCAACACGAACGATCAGATCACCAGCGCAGCCTACTCTTCATTAACTCCTTCAGCAGATTATCGAGACACGCGAACCATCAAAATGGCCGAACCGGATAACTTTGAGGAGGATCTCTTCGCCGACTTGTATGTATGATGCTCAAGATGCTCTACATTCCCAGCTTTGTGTATTGCCATGTGCAACAAGCAGCAAAGATCAACTCTACAAAGCCACTAACTAGGCGCTCACTTCTCCCTCTCGCTACCTGTATCCGTACAGTATCATGTGCTGATCCACTACTCAGGTATACCGATGAAGTTGCGCCGCCGAAGTCAGCAGCTCCAGAAGTCGAACTCAAGGCTGAGCCTGCCCAAGAAGTGGTGAAGGCTGAGGAATCGCACGACCAGACCGAACCAAATGGCCAAGGAGGCGAAGAGACCTACAATGGTGGAGACCAAGACATGGATGATGAGATTGATTTCAATCTGGGCCAGAGCAACGGCAATAGCAATAATTACGATGCTCCAGCCACCCATGAGGCCCATGGACCTGGCATCAAGGAAGACGGGTAAGATGATCGAATTTTCTTTATTGTTCGTACATAAGTTTTAGGAAAATACTGGAGGAACGTGGCCTCTATTATGGTCCTCCTCAGCATTTGACTTCTATTGCTATACCTTCTCGACACAGACGGTGTTTTCGGATGTGGATATGAGACTGGAGTATCTCACTGCGGACACGTGGGCTGCAGGATATTGGTATCGCGGGGCATGGGCATGATCAGATGGCCGGGAAGAGGCTTTGGTACCAGGGAGAATATCTGTCATAGGACATGGAAACCTCTATCAATCGCTGAAATTCTGTGCTGGCTGGGTGGATGAAGGATGCCATAACGCACTGAGGTGCCGCGGAAGGCCAGTGGGAGCAAGAAAGGGACAGCTACGGTGGGGAAACGCTCACGCGTGTTGAAAGGATTGCAAGGAAACTGATATCGACTCTGCATTCGACATCAACAGCGGCAATAGTCAAGCCTACTACATAGCCTATTGTCGAGATAATCTTCATAGAGCATCAGAGGAGGCCTCAGATAGGCTAGAGCAAAAGGCAGCGCATAGCGTTCGACGCCAGTACCTAGCATCACGATAGCAAAACACACGATTGTTCTTGGAAATCTTGCAGTGTCATTCTTCATTGCATGACTTCTCCTGGATTCTCAGTGGCATGGGCTGGCAAGACAATCAGGATGTGTGAGATACTATGGGCGAAGTTCTGCTGCCGAAACAGAATGAATGGGCATATGTTCTCCACGACTCTACCGATATTTGCCTCGCCCGATCTCCACTGGTCCATACGTTTGCATTAAGACGACTGAGACCAGTCGGCGAGAATGTTCAGATCCCAATATTCGCGAACCCAAGCGAAATCCCCGTGTTCCAGATCAGGGATTCGAAGCAGCGAAACAACATTCTGATTGCTGCGACCCTAGGATGTGCTACCCCGGATTTTCTTTCTGTCAATGTCCACGTCACGATGGCTTACATTCTTGATCCTGGTTCAATTGCTAACAACTATGGCTTTGCAGAAAGATGTTCATTGGTGGTCTGAACTGGGAGACGACTGATCGTGAGTAGACCTTAGCGAGTCCACCCTAATTCTCCGTCTGACTTGGAACCTTAGAATCGCTGAAAGATTACTTCTCTCAGTTTGGCGAGGTGCTAGAGTGCACAGTGATGAGAGATGGTGCTTCAGGTCGTTCAAGAGGTTTCGGCTTCTTGACCTTCAAAGATGCCCGTACCGTTAATATTGTGATGGTGAAGGAACACTATCTCGATGGCAAGATCGTAAGACCCGATTTTCAAACCCCCTCCAATTCTTTACGTCTCTATCCCTCATCAGACCCCTCCTCTAGCAAAATCATAAACTCACGCGCCCGTTGCAAGATCGACCCTAAAAGGGCAATTCCACGAGACGAGCAGGAGCGTACTAGCAAGATCTTTGTTGGTGGTGTCAGCCAAGAGGCCACAGAGCAAGACTTCAAAGAGTACTTCATGCAATTCGGTCGAGTCGTCGATGCCACCCTCATGATGGACAAGGACACCGGCAGACCACGAGGTTTCGGATTCGTCACATTCGACAGCGAAGCCGCAGTCGATGCCTGCCTGGATTCACCGCTCGAGATTCTCGGCAAGCCAATCGAGGTCAAGAAGGCCCAGCCACGCGGCAACATGAGAGAGGAAGAAGATCGCGGTGGTCGAGGGGGACGATTCCGAAAGGGAGGCAATGATGATAATCAGAACCCCAACCAAATGCAACAAGGCGGAGGTAATCAGATGGCTCCAGGTGGCATGACCCCTCAGGTTATGGCTCAGTACTGGCAACGCATGCAACAATACTTCGCCATGATGCAGCAACAGATGGCTATGGGTGGTGGTCGTGGTATGCCTATGGCCGGAGGTATGAATCCAGCTATGATGATGCAGATGCAGCAGATGCAAGCCATGCAACAGCAAATGCAACAAGGCAACCGCAGCCAAAGCCCTCAAAGTCCCGGTGCTGGTATGGCCGGTATGCAAGGCATGAACCCAGCTATGATGCAACAGATGCAGCAGATGCAACAAATGCAAATGCAAGGCATGGGCGGTGCTGGCATGGGAGGAGGAGCTGGTATGGGTAACAACTATGCTGCTGGAGGAGGAAGCAATCCAGGAGGTCGGATTGGTACACCCGGGTATAACGCTTATGAACAGCAAATGTTCGAGCAGCAGAAGTATGAGCAACAACAAATGAGACGAGCTGGTGGTGGGCGTGACCAAGGTCAATATGGACAGGGCGGAGGTTATGGTCAGGGCATGGGTGGTGGACCTACATCATGGGAGGGAATGTATGATGATGTTCCTCAGCCAAATGTTCCTACTGGAGGTGGAGCTCGTGGAGGCTTTCAGGGCAATCGTGGTGGAAGCAACAGGGGTTCGGCACCTCCACAGACTGGTCCTCAAAGTGCCCCTCCAGCAAATGCGCCAACAGGACCGAAGAATGCTGGAAAGCCCGGTGCGAACTATCGAGGTGGTGGTAGGGGAGGTAACCGTGGTTTCCATCCATATGCTAGGGGATGAAGGGGTGTCTACGTCTGAGCTATGACCTCAAAAGCTCCTCATGCATCCTGGCATGATCATCTGTTATTTGTATGATGCATATCACCACGGGGGTGATTTACAAGGATAATCTTCAATAGCGTCATGAACAAATTCAAGAACGCTTTCATCTATAATTTCGTGAAGCCTTCTTTTGGTGGCTGCAACCAGTTTCTCTCGTCGTAAACAGACTCTCCCTCAATAACATGGAACGTGTAGATAATCCTTCCCTTCTGACTTACGTTTTTCTCGCTCTTATGTAGCAAATTCCCGTGAATTAGCACCAGAGAACCAGCTTTGACCTCCCCAAGCACATAATCACCTCCCTTATCTTCCCCTCCATATTCTTCACCAACTGGGAATTGCAACCCCTCATTATCAATAAATTCTGTACCGGAACCGTCCTTCTTCCTCACGAATCTCTGTCCAACAGGTGCACTCTTATGACTTCCTGGCAAGAAACTCAAACATCCATTCTCCACAGTCGCATCTTCTAATGCATACCAAAATCCGACTGCACTAGGTGGATTCGTGTATAGGAATGTGGAGTCTTGATGCGGAGGAACTGCTCCGCCTATCTCAGGTTGTTTGCAGATAACCATACTTTGGAGGCATTGCGGCGTCCGGAACCCGATGGACTTTGCAATAAGGGCTGGAGAGTGTGTAGAAGATGGGGAGAGCAGTGAAGCGAAGGGTGGAGAGAGTGCATGGAGGTAGTGTCCTATTTTATTTATGGCGCGAGCTTTTGGTTTCGTGAGGTTGCCGGCGGAATCGAATGCGTCTGGTTTGTTAGTGAGGACTATCATGAGCGATCGGAACCTCTACCTTCTTCAAAGAAGAACCTGACTTTGTCGCCGCTGCTAAGGAAGTAGTCGTCTCCTACATGATCGCTTTTTTCTCCTGTAGAGAACTTTGTCATGGGATGATCGGAGAGTGAGAAGTTGTCGAGGAGGGACCGCGTTTCTGTGAGAAGCTCGGAGACTTTCTCGGCAGACAGGGCGTCGAGAATAATGAGATAGCCATCTCGTTGGAACGTTGCTAGCTGTTCCTTCGTGAGGCCTCGCGCTGCTGACGGAGGATCTGGGGAAGTTCGTGAGGGGGCCATTGTGAGAGGTTGAGGTTGTAAGCAGAAAGGAGGAGAGGGTTTCAAATAAGGAGAGCTTATCGCAGCTGCCCCTCCCTTGATAAGGATTGGTCGGTAGGTCGGCTCAAAACTCGTAAAGTGGGATTGAGCAGTCAAAATTCAACAGCACATCAAGTCAGCCTACGCACAAGTTCACGGATTCCTGCTATCAAGGTAATACGAAAGTTTAGTTCCGGGTGGCTCAGATGATCCAAATGATTCACTCGCCTTTGGACTTCAGGTCCCTCGCCAGTATGTTTACGGCGCTAAGCGAGTTGAGGGCATCCCAACGGAGCCAGGGCAAAGTTCGACTTTCCAACTAATTCTCCTGAACAACCTCCAAAAAATGAAAATTAATTCGCACGAAATGCCTTGACTGTCCACTGTGAGGTTCGAACTCACGCTTCGCAATGAAAATGGTGATAATAAGAGTATAAATACTCGACTTAAAACCATCGCCTTGAACCACTCGGCCATATGGTTTTTGCATCAGAATGTTGATTTCCAGTTCTAGGAAACTGGAGCCGCTTTTACTATCGTACTTCTAGTCCTGCCTAAGGTTACAGTATTTCATATCTTGGTAGTGTTAGGCTATTGGTGTACCAGTGTCCTGGCAGGGTAAGCGCCTGGACAGAATAAGCTTAGTTGGAGAGGTTGAGATTAGTTCACCGTACAGCTCATCATTTGATTCGCTAGATATTTAGCTTTGCCGCTCAGGTTGTGACTAATAGATAGCTTGCAGCCGGAATCCGCTTCCTTTTTGTCCATACAGGTTCGAAGACATTAGCTCAGTTCTCAGCGTGGGCCTTGCTCAAAGATTCTCGAAACGCAGGAGGACTGAAGTGCAGCTGCACCGCGTGGCCCCCCCACCTGTATTTTCATCTTGTCGTATGAGCTGCCCAATCATAAAAGCCTGCATTTCTACAGCGCTTATTGAAAGGGAGAAAGGGATAGGGTGGCGAACCCTTCTTCTGTTCTCTGTCGGTGCCTTAGTTTCCAAACCACGAGCCAACCACGGGGGCTTGACTTGGTCCAACTTCTTCAAGTCGTTGTGCTTTGGCGGCTTACTGGCTTCTGTTTCTCTGTTCTGAGAACTTGAAATTTGATTACGCCAATGATAATATGTCGTTGCTTTTCCCTGCCTCAAAGCTGCACTGTTCGTCCTTCAAAGAACCAAGGGTCTGGACTATCCAGATGACAGCGCGCCTTCTTCCAAAATAGGTTGGAAACAATATCTGGGGCCCCGACCCCCCCAGCCATCGGGACCATCCCAATCTGAGCACCACTACTTGGAGTGGCAGAACTGGATACCTAGTGAGATCTGTCTCACCGCCCTGGCAGAATGATATTTTCACTGATATGTAACAAGATAGGACCGTTTCACAATTACACAGGCAGTCACAGCCGCTTTGGCCGAGTGGTTAAGGCGATGGTTTTAAGTTGGGCCAAGCCCTTACTCACCATTAACGCAAGTTGCGTGAGTTCGAACCTCACAGGCGGCACAATGCCAGTAGAATTTTTTATACTTCTGGCGGGCGCAGCTTCCGAATATTTTTTTTGGGGGGGGCTGCTTCATCACGTCGCATGTTGAAATTTTCCGCTTCATCTGTCCTTTGTGGTGGAATGCTGTTGTGATTGGATAATCGGCCAAACCTATGAGGTCATAGAGATTGGGATTAGAAATAGGGCAGTTACGAGCCGTTCTCCCGGTGGGCAAAAAAAGCCCGGATTCGGTCATAATTATTCTACACTCAACAACACAAAGAAAGAAAGAAAATTGTATTTCTCTAAGCCTTTACTCATGTTTTCAAATAGTCCTAGTTGCAATTTATTCTATAAAGCACTTGTTGAGTATGTGGATGCACTTTTTATTTTGTCCAGTTTGAAGTCTAAATTGCCCCGCAATCGACAAGCTAATATTACCAAAATCTCATGTTAAATCAGCACACCTCACCTCTCTGTTAATGGATTTTTTTTGAATTTCAATCATAAGAATTAAAAAAGTACTTTTGATTGTTTACACCCCGTTTTCTCAGCCTTTTGTTGTCATGAAACTTACGTTGCAAAAGTGCGACTTTTGGTGAGAATCTGGATCCGTCCGATTAAATTTGGCCACCGGAAGCTGTTCTCTCGGTCATTGGCATAGCCGCACTGCGGCTGTCCCGGAAAAACTGCAGCAAATGGTTGCGAAGATAATGAGACGAGAATAACGGAAGATATTGTTTACGTCCCGAAATGCAGAAACCGCCGTGCCAAAACTTGCATCGTCTCCTTGTGTCTTCCCAAGGTGTCCGAACAGGCCGGGAGCCGGGGTAGCTCGCTTCGGGACCAACAGGAGTTGCTCAGAATCAAAATACAAGAGCGTATCCAGTTGTGCTATGGCATTCACACGCCTGCTTCGATAGTCAAATAGTGCTGTGCGTGAATAGCTTGGAACGCCTGTGTATCTAATCTTGTTTCATTGGCACATTCTGTGTGTTGATCAAGTCTTACTTTGAAAAATTCATTTGTGACAAGTCGAGTGTCAGCTTTTCCTTCACTACTGTTGAAAGTCCCAAGGAAAGAAGCAGCAGATCCCAGTGATAAAAATAAACAATTTGAGTTGCCATGCTGACCGTGCCCTGCACTCATATTGAGCTTCCACCTCATTCTAGATCCTACAGAGAAAAGCTTAAAAGAAAAGCCCAGACAAACCCCCAAACCAAAATGGAACACCGTGAACATGTGTGCGGTAGCTACAATTAATGAATTCCATTTTGGTTTTGATACAAAGTTGGTAGGAAGTATTGTGCCAGAAGAGAAGGTGGGGCTTTTGGTTCATCCACCCATGCTTTACTTTACTGCCCTGCTACTGAGCTTATTACTACGAAAGAGGCACTTCACCAGCATCCTGATGCCCTCTATGAATCGACGAAAGAGAAAGAGCTCCAATCGAACCGAGCTTCGAAACGCAAAGCCGACATCATTGACTTTGTCCCTACCCCTACAAGACATAAATACTCTACACGAAACGAAGCCATACCGCCCAACACTCAAAAGGCAGACTGTACCTAGATGAAGTCGGTGACAGAGCGCCTGGTACTGATTCAAAAGCTCGTGGTGACATGAGCTCCTCCGGATTTTCTATGGCGGCCGCCAAGATACCAGTGGCTTCTATGCTTCCTAGAGCTTCTCAATAGGCTCTAGGAGCCGGAAGGAAAATAGCTGATCGTGTAAAATTTCGGACTGTGATCACCGTGATAAACTTCCTCTCACAAAGGCAGGAATGGAGCACCATATGGAGTTCTATCACTGCACTCTAAGCATGGATCCGCCAAACCAACAGCTTACAAGCAGAAAATTTGGATGTATATCCCATTGGAGCCAAAATTTCCATGATGGCATTCAGCAGAGAAAAACCCGGCTGTTCCAAGTATCTTCTGACGAACTCCGCAGATTTGGCATCAGTCTCGTCCGGTTAGAAAGGATCAACGCAAGTCATGGATGAGGACATAAAGGAAGGAGTGAAAAGAGACGATTGTTGCTGGGAGTGGCTATTCGTTGAGTTTGGATGCCAACAGTAGTCGTCACCAGGAATCTCCCAACTGGATACGGCTGATGCGCACAGATCGGATATTGGGGAGGGGCAGTGGGAGATAAGATAAGTAAACAATGACAAGCGAGCACGTGATGGCCGGCCGCCATTGGCCATTTCCCCAACAGTGCTTACCAATTATGGCCGAGTACCAACAAAGTGTCGGTCACTACGGGTTGAGGAGGCTCACAGGTATATGGAGAGACTCTTGAGACGAAAGAAGGTGGCTCTGAAGAACTGATCGGTTACCGCAACAATGGCAGGTAACATGACAGAACATACCTTTTGCCACACCGTTGGCCATCTGGCTACTTCTATGACGGCTCAACGGAGGTTTATTGATAGCTACAATACAAAGTAGAAAAGACATCGAAAGAAGAGGTTCGTAAGGAACCTTAAGCTTAAGTAAGGAGAGGGCGGCTGCTAGCCTTGTTTACTTATCGCATGTCGGCTTTGTTCCCGTGACTTAAGGTTATGTGGCGCGATATCACGTAATCGGGCAACTGGGCCGTTACATTACTTTCCCCTTTGAGGAAGGCTTATTCTTAAGTCGAGAAAAGAAGCGTTGCTGATCTTTTGCTGTTATAGCCGTATTATCTTCTAAGCTGTGGTAGGCGTTATTTTTTTTTGATTCTTATATTGCGATTTATTAATTAAGTAACTTTAAAGATTTTAATAGCATTAAGTTAGTTAAGTGAAAGTCGCGTAACTTGTAAGGGCAAATACAAAAGTTTGTTGTTAGATAATACTTTAAGTTCAAGTTAAGTTTTTTTTAATGTACTTGGTAATGCAGCGTTTTATTTTGCTTTAAGCGTATGTTTAAGATATCTTATATCTTTTATTTTTATTTTATGTTTATAACGATAAAGTTTTTTTGTTTTAGTTATACTTATTCTGGCAGTAAGTTATTGTTATAGCATTATAACTTATTTGTAAAGAAGATTAAATGAATTTTAATTAAGTTAAGAAGTTTTAATTAATATGAATGCTTCTTTTGATTTAATACTTGATATAGATTAGCTTATTAATTATTTAATTTCTTCTTTGAGCGATAAGTTTTCTAATTTTTTGTCGTGACTTATACTTGATCTGTGGGTTTGCACCGGTATGTAATATCACAAAGACAGTAAAAGTAGCAAAAACAAGTGCAATAGTAATTCAAAAAATATTCAAGTTTTTAGCTAAGGGAATGCGAGAAGGAAAATGATTTATACCTGTTGGTCCACAGGACCCATACCGAGTGTTTGATGTATCCACGCCAGGAGCCGGCCGGTAGCCGGAGGGGTTTCAGGGGGGTTACGGCTACGGGTATAAATCCTCTGCCTTCTCGCACTCCCTTAG